TTCTCCTTATATACAGGAAGCAGACCACATCCCAAAGGCAGCTACTCAGCTGCTTGTGGTAGATTGCACCATGGAGTTGATTACCAGTCTCATCATGGTGAATAACTACCACCAGCTGCCCAGCCACTCAACCAGGCCCAGCCAAGTTGACACACAACATAACCGCCACAATTAGGTGTGTCCCAAATGATCAATAAATAATTACTGCTGAATTGCCTTTTTTTATATGGAAATGGGTTTTGTGATTCTTAGATACTAGACATGTTTTCAAGTTGTCTCTGCATAGACCTATACTGAAGGCATAGTGTGATACAGTCTGCTCTCTGCCCTCTGCTTCTTAGCTAATTCCGTGGGATTGCCTAGAGTTGGTGTTGGAATGAAGGTTCCTGGGTAGTACAAATCGTTTGCACTTAACTACTAACCTAACTGTGGCACTTTGAACCCATCCAGTGGTACCATAGAAGAAAGGCCTGGCTATCTGCTTCTGTAAAGATTATAGCCAAGAAAACGCTATGGAGCACAGTTCTACTCAGTAACACACGGGGTTGCCTTGATTTGGAATTGACTTGATGGCAATGGGTTTGGTTTGGGTTTTTTTGTTTGAAGTTAGAGAAACTCACAGACCAGGAAACATGTAATTCTGCCCTTCGTTATGAATGGAGAAACTGAAGGAGCTCTGGTGGTATAGTGCCTAAGCCATTTGTCTGCTAACCAGAAGGCTGGCGGTTCAAACCCACCAGCCACCTGACAGGTGAAGTGATTTGCTTGCCCAAGATTGGCAGTGAGTCGTTTTCTTGACCAACACTCTGGTCTTCTTATCCGGCCCTGTACCTGTTCTCAACCCATTCCATGTTGACTCTGGCTGCCCCTTTAGCCTGATGGCTGCTCTTTCTTTCACCCTAACAGTCCCATGGATTTCATTTGGAAATTATCCTCTCCAATCTCATCTCTCCTTCTCTCCAGTCTTATGTTTCCCCTTCATAGCCCAGGTCAGAGCCTCGCTCCCCTGCTGAGATGGAATCCAGTCCTTATCTCTCTTTCCAGCCTGCTCAGCACACTTCTGGTCTCAGTGTCAATGGTCATGCATTTGTACCTGATTATTCCATGTGAAGGACAGTGGGGACACTTAGTGACCTTGTTTTATAGATAGAGAAACAGGCCAGGGTATGTTAGTGACTTGCCCAAGATCATCTGACAATCACAGAGTATAGTGGTTATGAGCTCTACGGTCAGAGTCTGGGTTAGAGTTCAGCTCTGCTTAAAACCTGTGTTATCTTAGACAATAACTTAACCTCTCTGAGCCTTCATTTCCTACCTACATAGAAAACCAAAAGACCGAACCAGTTGCTGTCAAGTCCATTTGTCTCATAGTGACCCCACGTATGCATGGTGGAACTGTGCTCCATAGTGCTTTTGAAGCTGTGACTTTTGTGAAGCAGATTGCCAGGTCTGTCTTCTGAGGTTCCTCTGGGTGAGTTTGAACTGACAGCCTTTAGATTACTAGTTGAACACTTAATAGCTTGCACCTCCCAAAGGCTTCTATATAGAGGGGATAGTTATTTTGCTTTGCTTGTCTCATAAGGTTGTTCTGAGACACAATTCTGGTAGTGCCCTTGAAATGCTTTGTATACTACAGAGCTGGCCTATGGGAGATACTGCTGCTGCTGCAGCTGCCGATGGGTATTGCTGTCCTGACCTCTGTAGTGTGCAAGGGCAGAAGACGATGAGGACACGCAGATGAGGACTAACCCTCAATACATCCTATGTGAAGTATTTAGTTGTTGGCTTTGTGAAGGCTGTCACAATGATTGCTATGTTTCTATATTTTAAGAACTTTGCCTGGATCTATACATGCTTAAACACATCAAAACATTTGCTCAAAATGATGGTGATCATCTTGGTACATGACATACTGATAAATACCCATGGAGAGTTTCTATGAATAAATGGTCAGGTGAATCAGAAAAGGCAGAGATGTTCAGATAAAAGCAGGGGGAGACTGCAGTGCACCTGAAATAGAGAGAAGGTTGGGGGTGAGTGGGGAGGAGAAAGATATGGGAGTAAGAGGCAGCCTGAAGCCAGAGACATCTGTGGTTCCCCTCTGGTCAATTCAGTGCACTTTCAAGAGGAAGTTAGGGGACTTGTGGGATCAGAGATCCTGTGCGCTCTAGGTGGGATGTCTAGCCTGTTCTTCTGATGATGCTACAGGCACAGAGTGGTACAGATACTTTCCAAGGACCAGCACTAAGTGCAATATTCTTTTGCAGGAGGTTTCCCACAGGTTTCCTGGAATGAAACACAAACCAAAGAGTTATCAGAAAGGCTTCTGGACCTGTTTTCCAGCATCTCACAGCTCATTCGAAAGAGTCGTAATGGTGAGGAGATTTAACGATTGGCCGGAGTTCCATAAGTGGCCAGAAATATTTCTCAAAACTTCATTATAGTTGGGCTGTGAGTGATAGGTACATCAGCCAACTACTCCCATGGACTGTCCTGAGTCTTTAGGTAGAGGTGGGTCCCAGGAAGGAAGGAAACAAACAAACAAATCAGGAGTTAACAAAACAAAACAAAACATGTATCTTATCCTTCAGTTCCCGATGTGAGGGTGGAGACACCCCTCCCTCAGGAAGGTCTCAGTGTGAAGGTGGAGACAACTCTCACTGCCCCCTCCACCACTCAGGGAGTCTGTAGTGCTGTGTGGGGTCTCACAGCCCTGTCCATAGTGAGTTCTATCTGGAAAAGATTCAAACCCTATGTATGTTTATGGAATTTCCTGTGGGTTCTGAACCATGAGAGCCCCTAGGCTGAGTAGAACCAGAGGGCTGCTTCTCTCAGAGATTCACCATTCTGAGGGGATGGTAGGACAAAGGACAGTCAAAGACCCAGGAACAAATGCCACTGAGGGAAATGAATATGTACAAAGATGCTTCTAGAGAAGGCAGCTCAGAATGCCTGAGGGTGGATGTCAGCTGGAGATGCTTTCTGAAGTAGGGGAGCAGGAAGCAGGGCAGAGAGAAGTGAGGGTGGAGGTTCATCTTCTAGGGAAATGCAGAGAAGTAGTTTGAAGAAAAAGGCAGATTGACTCATATATAATCACAGATTGAACTCAGAGCCTGTGTGGGGACTTGTTAGCCAAAATGAGTATAAGGAGTTGAGAAGCTGAAGAGGTGGGTGGTGAAGGCCTCTTTGGGTACCATAGTGGGGTAGACAGAGCCTGGCAAGAGAAGACTCAAGGCAGTGTGGGCTGTCTGCTGGGGAGGAAATGGGTAGGCCCTGCTGCATTATCTTCCCGTGATCCCCCTGCAGATCCTCCCACCATTGTCTCCCGCAAGGAGTGGGGGTCAAGAACACTCACCTGTAAGGCCCGGTTGACAAAGCCTGTGGCCTACGTCATCACTGACCAGCTCATGGGGATGGAATGCCCGAAGCAGAACATTTGCAGCTGGAAGCTACGGGGCCTGCAGTCCCATTCCATCTACACCAAAGGCTGGTGCGACGTGCCATACAAGTAAGAGGCTGGTGTGTCCCAAACCCACACTCAAAGTTCCCTCCTAGGATGATTATCCACAGGCCTCCACTGGTAATGCTCAGAGCAGACACTTATACTCAACTATAAAGTATAAGTCTCTTTTGCTTCCTGCTTTTATAATGAATACAAAATATTATAAACAAAGAAATAATAAATAAATGAGAGAAAGAAAGAAGGAAGGAAGGAAAGGAAGAAAGAAAGTCTAAGTCCTCTGGAGGTCATTTAGAAGGATGGCTCTGAGCCATCATTCAGATAGAGTTTTTGACCCTGGGAACTCCTAGAAAGAAACAAAGAAGGTTATGTGATAAGGTTATGTAGTCACCTCCTTGATTCTTTCAGGACATCACAGTTCTTAAAGGTTTTCACAAACTCCTATTTCCTCTGAGGTAGGAGAAATATCACCACCTCTGTTTCACAGGTGAGAAAGCCAAGGTCTAGCGAAGTTAATGAATTTGCTCAAAGTCACAGAGCAAGGAAGCTGTGAGCCCAGAATTATGTCACGAGGGTCTGTTAGTCCAGCACTTGTTTCACCCGCAGCATAGATAGGGCTTTTACCCAGTGAACCAGTTTCCTGCCTATTACCCTGAGAGGTTACCCTGACAGTGAGATCAGGGATCCCTGTGGACTCTGGGATAGGGAGAGAGGAAAGCCTCATGTTTAACAGCAGAAGGCATGAGCAGATCCTTTTATTGAGGGGTTGAGTCTGAGTGTGTACTCCGAGAGTTATCAGTGGAGGCCCAGAGCCTCTTATCTTTTCCCTCAAGAACAAGGATATATATCTACATATTTATGTATCTGATACTCATATATAATCCTCATATATATATATATAACTATATATAAATATGTATATATATGAGTATAAATGAAGATATACAAGAGGATATATATGATGATATGATGGTATATGAAATATATATGAAACTATATACAAGGATATATGAAAAAAATACAGATATATTAAACACACACACATACGTGTGTGTGTGTGTATATATATGTAGATAGATAGATAGAAGATACAGATATAGTATATAAGGAGCTCTGATGGTGTGGTGGTTAAAGCATTTGGCTGCTAATAAAAAGGTCAGTGGTTCAAACCCACCAGCCACTCCAGGGTCACTATAAGTTAGAATTGACTCGATGGTAGTGAGTTTGATTTGGAGTATATAGTATATAGACATGGGAGCTCTGGTAGTGTAGTGCCTAAGACACTTGACTGCTAACCAGAAGTCTGGTGGTTCAAACCCATCAGCCTCTCCTCGGAAGGAAGATGGGGCAATCTACTTCCATAGTGATACTGCCTCAGAAACCCAAGGAGGAGTCGCTATGAGTCGGGTCCAACTTGATGGCACATAACAAAAACAACAACAGTATATATATAGACATATATATTGAGCATATGGCTATGTATATTGAATATGTGGAGATATATATATATATATATATATATATATATATAATATATAAATTCTGACTCATAGCAACCCCCATTGGGTTTCCAAAGCTATAAATCTTTACAGAAGCAGATTGCTCCATCTTTCTTCTGCAGAGTGGCTGGTGGGTCTGAACCAGTCAACTTTTGGTTAGCAGCCAAATGCCTTAACCACTGCACCACCAGACCTCTTTTGAATTTTAAAGACAAATATAAATAATTCAAAATTATTCATTTTGGGGAGGATAACCCATGTCATTTAAAAAGTTTATTTTTAAACACAAATAAATAAATAAGAGCAGCTGCAGTTCCTCATTGTTACTATCAGTGCTCCTGAGTGTGTATGCGTGTGTGTGTGAGTTTCTGGTCCACTCTCTGTATAGTAACTGCCTCAGCTCCTCACCCTGCCACCAGTACCTCTACCCACCCACTGTTGTCACTTATGTGATGCTTACTTCAGCCACAGTATTTCTGACAGTTAAATGAACTCCAGTTTCTCCAGAATTGCTGACTGTAGCCATAAGGATCTATTCACACTGGACCAACCAAAGGCTGATATAGATGTGACAGAGGAATGTGCTGAAAGAGCTGGCAGCAAAGCCAGGGAAATGGCGGACATCTGGAAGCTTCCCTGTTGGTTACTAAGGCCCATGTCAGTATGCTGTTGTTGTTGTTATGTGCCATCAAGTTGGACCCAACTCATAGTGACCCCACCTTGGGTTTCCAAGGCAGTATCACTACAGAAGTAGATTGCCCAACCTTCCTTCCGAGGAGTCGCTGGCGGTTTGAACCGCCAGCCTTCTAGTTAGCAGTCAAGTGCCTTAGGCCCTATGCTACCAGAGCTCCTAAAGAGACAGCCCGGCTACTTGGCAGGGAGTGGCTAGTGGGTTTCTGCCAACCTTGGGTGTGGCAGGTGACTGCCTTAGGCCTGAGGTAGAAAAATGGTCTCACTAAATTCAAGGGCTTGGCATGACCTTAGTGAAATGCCACCCTGTTCAATTTGTTGTGGAAACTCATCATTTATTAAGAGCTGAATATGGCAAGAATTGTGAAAACATCAGTTCTGAGAACTGTGATTGGAAAATGGAGGATAAAAAAGTTATAAGGACCCACGAATAAAGGAGGATGTGGAATAAAAGAATAAATAAATTTGAATTGAAAAGTTAACTGAAGAAAAGGAAGATTCTAAACAAATTCCTATGATAAAGAAGAACTTAAGGAAATGACTAAGAAGTGAAGAAAAGTCAACACCAATGGAATTTTTGAATTCTGGTTGATTGTTTTAAAAGATGTTCAGGCGTTTGGTCCCGTAAGTAAAAAACATGATGAATTAATTTTAACACCCTTGAAAAATGTTGAACTCTTATTCCTGGATCATTGAGAGTCACGATTCTAGTTTTACGCTGAACACAATAGGTAGTTTTAAAGTGAGGTGCTGAAAACAGCCTAAGTTAGACTGCTTGTTGTCGTTATTGTTATGTGCTGTCAAGTAGGACCCTACTCATAGCAACCCCTCCTTGGGTTTCCGAGGCAGTATCACTAGGGAAATAGATTGCCCAACCTTCCTTCAGAGGAGTGGCTGGTGGGTTTGAACCGCTAGCCTTCTGGTTAGCAGTCAAGTGCCTTACGCACTATGCTACCAGAGCTCCTAAGTTACACTGCAGCACCATTTAAATTCCTACATATCTTGAAGGCAGTAGTGGTTCAGTGATAGAATTCTTGCCTATTACACACAAGGTTCAGTTCTCTGTCAAGTCTCTCATGCACAGCCACTACCTGTCAGTCAGCTGTGGCTTGTGTGTTGCTATGATGCTGAGAAAGTTTTAGTGGAATTTCAAGACTGACACATAAGGCAGAAAAGCCTGGTGCTCTTCTTGTGGAAATCAATGAAAACCCTATGGATCACATCCCTGTCCTAGGGATGGTGGGTTACTATGCTGTGTTTTGTTCCATTGTGTATGGGGTCACCATGAGCCTGAGGCTGACTCAGTGGCAAGTAACAACAATGTACAACCCTTGGAGATCTAAAACGGATTTTTTTCCCCACTGTGGTATTATTGAAGCACAATATTTATTTAAGAGCTTCTAAGACCCATTTCCCTTCTGAGGATTGTGAGAGGTTTTCTGTTACAAAGACTAGTCATTAACCCATATTTTCTTGCTTGGCAGTTTCCTGGTTGGGGATGATGGCAAGGTGTATGAAGGTGTTGGCTGGAATATCCAAGGCTTGCACACCCAAGGCTACAACAATATCTCTCTGGGGATTGCCTTTTTTGGCCATAACATGGGTAAGGTCATTCCCTGTTGACCCTTTGCCAGAAAGTTTTCTGTATTCTCTTCCTCTGCTCCCTTACCTCAACACTTATCTTTTCAGCCTATATCATGCTTGTCTTCTCTGATGATTTCCCTTGGCTTCTATTTGTCTTTTTTCTCCTTTCTGGTCTGAAATTCCTGTGATGTTGCTGAAACCTACTTACACTGCTGGAGCTCAGTTATTGCCATCTCTTCTGGAGGCTGCAATTGTTGGATAGTGTTGCTGCAGCTGCCAGAAGTAGAAAATCATGGCTTCTTTCTTCCTCCAGAGTTGTCCATTGGCAGAATCCAACCAGATGCCAAGAGGCAAAGGGGTCTGACAAATGTAGTTTGCAGCTTTTAGCACCCTGCAAAACAGAGGAGGACATAGAAGCAGAGATTGAGTTGAGAGATGATAGATAAGTAATGGGCACACTGAAAATCCTCATGGGCCAACTGAAGCTAGTAATAGCATTTACCACAGAGGTTTTCCTGTGAGAATTAAATGAGTTAATAGATATAAGGAAATTGCTGCATGCCTAATTATGAGAACCACTTAGTAAATGCTAATGGGTCTACCTGACTTGGTCAGGTGGATTTCTCTCTGCACATAGCTTTTACTGCTTCCCAGCCGTTCCACCAAGGGATGAAGTGGATAAATAAATTCTTAGTTCTGGCACTCAGAAGAGATTTCCAAACTTGGCTGCTGAGAGGTCTGTCCAAACAGTTCATTGTTTCTTAGGCCCTCTGCCCTGGCTTTTGGACCACTTTTCTCTCTTTGCATCCATCAGTTATCCAGGGTCCTCCCTCCCAGAGTCTAGACCAGGTTAGAGTTTCTTACTGATAGTTCTGTACTCCATGTCATCCTCTTTCAGGTAACAGTCCCAGTCCTGCTGCCTTAACAGCTGCAGAGGGCCTGATCTCCTACGCTGTCCAGAAGGGTCATCTGTCACCCAGGTACATTCAGCCACTTATCCTGAAAAATGAGATCTGCCTGGTCTCTCAGCATCCAGTGATGCCTGGGAAAGGTAAGACTCTCAATCTTGCCTCACCCTCTTCCTTGTTACAACCCTAGCCACACTTGAGAGTGCTCTTTCCTATTGGCTCTCATTGGCTTCTTGGGCTGAGATATGATGTCTTTTCCAGATCTTGGAGATCTGTAAAATATTTAAAAGGCCATCTTCCTGGTCTTCTGGTGGCAAGTGCCTAAGAATTTTGGCAGTTCAAACCCACTAGCCACACCATGGAAGGAAGATGGGGCAATCTACTTCCATAAAGATTTACTGCCTCAGAAACCCAGTAGAGGTTTACTATGAGTTGAAACTGACTCTATGGCAGTGAGCTTGGTTTGTTTGTTTAGAATAATATAACCATGGAATTATTCTTAACATAAGTGTACATGTACACACATTTTTATTCAATGAACAACTATTTACTGAATACCAGACACTCTTCTAGCTACTGGGGATACAGCTGTGAACAAAACTGTGAACAAACTCTCTACCTTCATGAAGCTTGTATTTCAGTGAAAAGACAAAATGAACAAATCGGCAAGTAAAATATATATGATATCAGATTGCATAAAAGTTATGGAACAACACCCACAAAAATGGGCAACAGTACAAATACATACAGATTTATGTATAATATTAAGTAACTTCAGACGTACCTTTATACACGCCTGCACACACACACACACAGACACACATAGAAGCTCTTTCTAAATGTAAAAACCAGCCAATCTGTATAGTGGCCATGTTGTTGTTTGTTGTTATGTACCATCGAGTCGGACCTAACTCATAGTGACCCCTCCTTGGGTTTCCGAGGCAGTATCACTACGGAAGTAGATTGCCCCAAAATTCAAGTTCTCATGTTACATTAATGTCAGAATCTGGGTAATAAAAATCATGCACTATTTTGGAGTGAACAAGCAGCAATTTAAAACTAGTAAAATTAATAAGCACTTTCAGTGACTTAACTCTTTCTGTTACATTGAGCCTTTTCTTGTAGTCAATGGTATATTTTTAAATAAGCTTTTTTTAAAAGTGATCTCAAAATCTCAAAATAAAGTTTTGTTTTGCTTTCATTATCTTCAATAATGATAATTCCTTAAGAGTTGAAGAGTTCTTTATGGATTTCAAATTAGTTTTACATAATGGTGTCAGTTCAGAGAGTCAGCTGATTTCTGCATAGTGACCCTATTACACCTCCTTATATTTGCAATGAATATTCCAATTTGTACATATACTTTGTCCTTTAACTAAAATGGCTACGTCTCTGTATAACCAACAGTTCCTTTCCTCTGCTCACATAGTACATTCTACAGTTATTATCAGAACCTGTAGAATTTTATCTGTGTCCATTTTTCTAGTCACTCAACTCAGACACTTTCCATCTGGATTTTTCCAGAATCCCACTGTTTATGTTGGGATGTACTGGTGGATGCTGGAGTTGGGGAGAGACTGAGGAGTAACCCAGCTGTGAGATTGTTCACTTACGGGCAAAGGCAAATTACTGTTTTCTATTTTTAAAAAATGTATTTTGTTGTTTGTTGTTGAGAATATGCATAGACGAACATGTACAATTCAGTGACATTGATTACATTCTTTGAGTTTTGCAACCATTCTCACCCTCCTTTCCTGAGTTGTTCTTCCTCCATTAACATAAACACATTGCCCCAAAGATTTCTATCTAATCTTTTGAGTTGCTCTTGTCTCATATATAAAGTTCTTTAAAAAGCATATGCTCTAGGCAGCCATTTTTCACTAGTTTCACTAAATTGTTATTTGATTTTAAGAAGATTTCAAGGGACACTTTTGGTTTGAGTTTGAAACATTATCTTAGGACAGTAGTTTCAGTGGTTCATCTGGCCCCCATGGCTGCAGAAAGTCTGGAGTCCATGAGAACTTGAAATTCTGTTCTACATTTTCCCCCTTTTGATCAGGATTCTTCTATGGAATCATTGATCAAAATGTTCAGTAATGGTGCTGTTGTTGTTGCTATGTGCCTTCGAGTCATAGGACTCATAGCGACCCTTCCTTAGGTTTCCAAGGAGGTATCACTACAGAAGTAGATTGTCCAACCTTCCTTCCGAGGAGTGGCTGGTGGGTTTGAACCGCCAGCCTTCTTGTTAGCAGTCAAGTGCCTTAGGCACTATGCTACCAGAGCTCCTTCAGTAACAGTAGGCAGGCACTATCCAGTTCTTCTGGTCACAGGGCAAAGGAGGCAGTTGTTCATGGAGGCAATTAGCCTTGCATTCCATTTCCTACTCCTCTTCCTAACTCTTCTTCTTCCTCTGTTGCTCCAAGTGAATAGGGGCCTACTATCATGCTTTAGATGGCTGCTTGCAAGCTTTTAAGACCCCAGGCACTATGCAACAAAATAGGAGGTAGAACAGAAACACTAAACATCTTATTAGACTAGTAAATTGGGATGTCCCGTTGAACCATGACCCTAAGCCCCTCGACCAAGGAACTATGAGGTTTTTGGTTGTACATTAGCAGTCTCAGTAGCAGTTTCAGTCACTACTTTTTTTTCTTTTGGTCATTTAAAAAAAAATACTAAATTAACATTTTCTTGATTTTTCACCTGACTACAGCTTGCCCCAACATCATCACACGGTCTGCTTGGGGAGCCAGAGAGACGCACTGCCCTAAAATGAACCTCCCAGCCAAGTATGTCATTATCATCCACACTGCTGGGACAAGGTGCAATATTTCTGTGGACTGCCAGATTCGCGTCCGAGATATACAGTCCTATCTCATGGATATAAGGGACTTCTGTGACATTGGATATCAGTAAGTGGGATCAGTGGAAAAAATGGCTTTCTCACTCTTCAGGGCAGAAACCAGGCTGTTGAAAAAATGTTGAGGGTGACAACTGATATTTACAGAGCCCTTCCTTTGTGCCAGGTGCTTTACCTAAGGAGTCACATTTTAGCTTCTGCAAGACTCTGGATTTAGTATCATTCAGAGTATTGCTAAGAATTAGCTTTCTTTTCTGGGCCTTTTCTCCACAAGTGCGTGGGAGGACTCTCAAAAGAAGGCACTAAAGCCGTAGTGATAAAGAAAGACTGAGAAACCCTTGGGGAAGGCACTCAAAGACTTGTTCCTTTCTAATACAATCCATTCCAAGTTAACATGCAGGCCTTGTCCAGCCCTACCCTGATCTGGACCATCCCTGAACTTATCCTCTTTACTGTGAGAATCCTGCTGTACCTCTAGTTTTATTTACTTCATTTTATAGATACAGGGGCTTTGAACCTCTCTGGGCCTCAATTGCCTGATCTCTAAAATGGGGTCAATAATATCTTATCTGTTTGAAGGCAGGGAGCTGGATCGAAATATTCTCTTTTGGTCACTTTAATACCAGGTCTGTAATAAAGATACACATTGAGCTAATAAAATTGTAGAAGCTACCTGGAAGATAGCTTTGGAATTTCATAGAAGGGATTCAGTGTTAGAGAGTGATAAATTTTACTTATTTACCTATGACTTAATCTCATGTCTCTGGTGAATTTGCTTTTTGCATTTGTGTTCTTTTGGTGTGGTGGCCGCTTTCCTCTTCACACCTATTTTAAAGCCATCCTTTGCAAACTAGAAAACACTGTTGCTGTGTTTTGCAGGATTTCCCACATGGTTGCTATAATTAATTAGTACAGATAATGGAGAACTAGCTGTAAATTTGGAAATCCTAAATGGAAAATGCCAGAAGCTGATGGAAAGTTTGTTTTCTTTCATTATTAAGTCTTCAAGGGTCCAATCCCTATTCCTTGAAACCTGTTATGTTGCCCCCTCTACCTCCAGCTCCATGATGTGTCATCTCTAACTTTGCTGTTGACTATAATCAGGACAAAACACCCTCTGATGCATCACTTTCATACTTTATATATTATGTTCCTGGAGGTAGACATGGTTCTTGCCTTGTGGAGTTGATAGAGGAAGATAATTAATAGTAATAACAATTCAGAATGTTAAGCACTATAATTGACAAAGTACAGGATAGAGGTTGAGTCTCTAACTAAGACTTTTGGGGAAAGTGAGTGGTGTCAGGAAAGAGATACCAGAGGGAGAGACATCTAGATTGGGGCATTAAGAATGAATAGGAGTTAGACAGGCTAAGAAGAAGGAAGAGTGTTCTAGAGAAAGGGATATGCAAAGCCTGGGGTCCAGGTATCTTTGAGGAACTGAAAAAAATTTAACTCATACTCCTAAAATAGATTTCAAAGAGAGGAGTGCTAAGAGGTAAGGCTGGAGAGGGAGAGAGGAGTCACATCATGAAGGGTCTTGTAACTGATCCCGATAGTTTAACTCTATTTGAAGGGCAACTGGAAGCAAATTGGAAAGTCATTCAATATGATAGAATCTGTGTTTAAAAAAACTTGTGTTACTTGTATTAGTTTCCTGTTGCTGCTATAACCAATCACTGTAGACTCAGTGCCTTAGAACAGCACAAATTTATGATGTTACAATTCTGAAGGTCAGAAGTCCAAAATGAGTCTCACTGGGCTAAAGTCAGGTCCCTAGGTGGCACACTCGGTTTGCACTTGGCTACTAATTGAAAGATTGTCAGTTCAAACCCAGCCAGCAGTGCAGCAGAAAAAGGGCTTGACAATCTGCTTCCATGAAGAGTACAGCCAGGAAAATCCTATGGAGCAGTTCTACTCTGTCACATAGGGGGCTGCCAGGAGTCAGAATCAACTAAACAGCAACAGGTTTGATTTGCGGGGGGAGCTAAAGTAGCAGGGGGAGCCCTGGTGGCATAGTGCCTAAGGCATTTGACTGCTAACCAGAATTTTGGCAGTTCAAACCCACCAGCCATGCTATGGAAGGAAGATGGGGCAATCTACTTCCATAGAGATACCGCCTCAGAAACCCCAGCAGGGGTCGATATGAGTCAAAAACGACTCAACGGCAGTGAGTTTGTTTGTTTTTTGAAAGTCAGCAGGATGTATTCCTTCTGGAGGCTCTAGGAGAGAGTCTGTTTCCATGACTATTTCCAGCTTCCTCATTTTCAAAGAAGCTGCAGTTGGTCTAGTCCTCGTTCTACCATTTCTTGTTCTCTCTTTTCTACCTCCTTCCTCCACTGATAAGGACCCTTGTGATTACATTGGGCCCATGTGGATGATCCAGGATAATCTCCTTATCTTAAAGCCAGCTGATTAACAGCCTTAATCCCATCTGCAACTTTAACTTCCCCTTGCCATGTAACCTAACATATTCATAGGTTCCAGGGATTCGGACTTGGATGTCTTTTTACTTTAGGAAGGCAGGCTGTACTTTTACCCCACTACACTACTATGTCAAGAATGCATTGGAAAGAAGCAAAGCTTGGGCAGAGAGCTACTGTAGTAATTCAGACAATAGATGTGGTGACTTAGACTAGGTAGTGGCAGTTGGCACAGTAAGAAATGGTAGAATTTAAAAGATATTCAGGGAATACAATGAATAAGCCATGACTAATGATCAGATGGGGCTGGGTAAGGTAGAGGGAGGCATTTAGGATAATGCTCAATTTTATAGCTGGGGAAATTGGAGAAGAAGATAGGTTCAGTTTTGGAGATGTTACTTTTAATTGAAGCTATGAGAGTGGATGGATTGCCTAAGGAGAATGTACCTAGTGGGAAGAGATGAGGGCCTAGATGAGAGTCCTGAGGAATACCACATTTGAAGAAAGGGTCCAGGAAGATGGGGTGGCAGAGGGCAGTGAAGAGGAGCAGCCAGAGAAGAGGAAAATCAGGAGAGATTGGGCTTGTGGTAACCGAGAGATGAGAACATTTCAAGAAGAGAATGTAACTCAGAATTAGTGTCCTTTGTGCTTAGTGTCTGGGAGGTCACTGATCACCTTGGAGGAGTCAGACTCAGTGGAGGGGATGGACAAAGACAATATCAAAGTGGATTGAAGTTGCTATTACTGCCCATCTGTCCTTAATTCTTGGGTTTGGGGATTGTGGGTTTATTTTTATTGTCTTTGTGCACATTGGCACATCAGAGATGTTAAGTCAATGTCTGATGAATGGATGAAAGGATGAATGATTGAAGGAATAAATGAACCAAATTCTGCCTTCCTGAGTGACTTTCTTCTATAATGAACTTCATTTTGTTTCCCTCAATTTTAGCTTCTTGGTGGGTGAGGATGGTGGTGTGTACGAAGGTGTTGGCTGGCATACTCAAGGCTCTCACACCTACGGATACAATGATATTGCCCTAGGGATTGCCTTCATGGGCAACTTTGTAGGTAAGACATGAACATGGGGCAGAGGAGTTCTGGGTGATGAAATATTATGTGGAATGTGTGGGAAGTATGGAGGAAAAGGCAATATTGTGGTGCCTTCTAGAGTCTGGGGAACATTCTAAGATGTGTCTTTGGAACATCGAAGTTTTAAACTGAACTCTCAATGATCAGAGAGTCCCATGGAGTCCCTCTGATACAGAACATTCATTCTAAATCCACCCACTCCCATGTTGTTGTTGTTATGTGCCGTTGAGTCGGCCCCGACTCATAGCGACCCCTCCTTGGGTTTCTGAGGCAGTATCACTACGGAAGTAGGATTGCCCAACCTTCCTTCCGAGGAGTGGCTGGTGGGTTTGAACCGCCAGCCTTCCGGTTAGCAGTCAAGTGCTTTAGCCACTATGCTACCAGAGCTCCTACCCACTCCCATACCCAGTGTCATCTTTCTTTCTATCCACATCAAAGGCTAGCATGGAGCAAGAGAGAAACACAAAATCTTTTGCAAACTTTGGTGTTTTTATGGTTCCCTCTGCAAATGCAGCCTCTTGGTAACTATGACAACTATGCTGGGGAGCACTATCACATGTTACGGAAAAACAGTGGGCAATATGGAGATGCGGGATTGGGTTTGGGAGTGCCTGCTGAGGCTTTCACACCTGCAGATACAACGACACTGTGTTGTCTGCAGCTCTCTTCCAGAGCAGTTTTTAACTTTCTGGAAGATACTTTGGCAAGAAAGAAAATCAGGGAAAACAGTGACTCGGTTTTCTCTTTTTGTCTGTTGCTGTTCTGTGCCCTCGAGTCGGACTGACTCATAGCGACCCCTCCTTGGGTTTCTGAGGCAGTATCACTACAGAAGTAGATTGCCCCATCTTCCTTCCAAGGAGTGGCTGGTGGGTCTGAACCACTAGCCTTCTGGTTAGCAGTCAAGTGCCTTAGGCACTATGCTATCAGAGCTCCCTTTTGTCTAGTTGTGTCTAGTTGCCACAATTAATGAAAATTTGCTGGCTGTGGTAGTGAGGGTGCCCAGGAGCAGGAACACTGAAATCTGTGCTGTCTCTGCCCTAAACAAAAATCCTTGAACCCCTAATGATTGATGGGAAATGTGTTCCACAGAAAAGCCGCCGAACAATGCAGCGCTGGAGGCCGCCCAGAACCTGATCTACTGTGCTGTGGATAAGGGCTATCTGAGTCCCAACTATTTCCTGGTTGGGCACAGTGATGTGGTCAGCGTCCTGTCTCCTGGGAAGGCTTTGTACAACATCATTAAGACCTGGCCTCATTTCAAGCACTGAGGAAGGCCCCTGCTCCCTCTCTAACTGCTTCCACTCAACGACTGGGCCTCCCCTATTCTCTCACTTCACTCTGTTGCATGTTTTCTCACCTGCCAGCCCCAACCTATCCTCCTTCATATATATATATATGTCCACCCCTCTATCCACCTATATACCCATTATACCCATGTTTGCCTTCACTGACAACACAGTACTGTATGTGCAAAAGGGTTAATCTTTGTTGTCTGTACCTCCTGTGTACCTCTCTATGTCTTTCTCTTCCTCAATGCCATCATATTGGTCACTCACATTTGGTATATTGCCCTTCTCTTCACCCAAATCAGTACTTATCTCTATCTATTTAACAGCGTTCCCTCCCCTCCCCTCCCACCCCTGGTAACCAACAAATAAAATGTCCTTCTATAGATAAACTTTTCCTTGTTGTTGTTGTTGTTATGTGCCGTCGAGTCGGCCCCGACTCATAGCGACCCCTCCTTGGGTTTCCGAGGCAGTATCACTACGGAAATAGATTGCTCCATCTTCCTCCCGAGGAGTGGCTGG